ATACGTCCCTGTGATGTGCCTTTTTTTTTTCCTGATTGTCATGCCGTAAGTAAAAAGTGTATTCATGTTCTCTTCTAAAATTAGAGATTCTTCAGCATAATGGGATCTTAAGACTAGGGATCAGGGTAATAGGTGAATTAATACAACAGCAAAATTTCTCATTCCCACTTGTGTAGAATATTGTTTATATTCTTGTCTCCAGTCATCCTCCTGTAGCACTGCATGTGATAAGGACTCCATGTAACTTCAGTGAGCTCTGAGAGACTAAATGTCATGGTAACCCATAGAGATATAATCTCTTCTGACACATTTGCTTAACACAAACCTAAGGAAGTTAAATAAATTTCACCGAGTGTAATACATTCTTCCTTTTGCCATCTATATCTGCTTATCTAAGCTTCTGGGTTTTGATTAGTGAATTACGAAAATAATTATCCATTGCCATCAATTGAAAATGTTTATGATGTTCTTCAAAGGCAGTGGTAAAATGTGTAGAGCTGTAGTAGAAGAGGAGATGGACACCTTACTGCATATCTTGTGAAGTACAGTATTTCAAGTCATGCTTTTATTCACCAATGATACCAGAAGTAACCTCCCAAAGACTGGAGAGGGGCCAGTCATATCACACAGAGATGTTATGCCAAAAAATTAACTGTACTTTGTTTTCTTTCTGGCTTTTGAGGATACTGTTTGTAGAAGTGAGGACACTTTTGAGAATGCTGGGGTTTTTGTCTTTTTTCAGAAAAAGAGAAAACATACTTTGGGTTTGGGTTTTTTGTGGGTTTTTTTTTCAAAATTTATTTAGACAAAGTTCTTGTTAAGGCAATTTCTAGCTTTACTATTACTTGCTTTTAAATTCCCTTTATAGCAACTGTGAGACTTTTGTTTCTTTACCCTTTGCTTAGTATTCACCATTTCTTGATTAGAACTCAGCAATTACTGTGAAGAATGCTGCTGCATTTCCATTTCCTAATGCTTTCCAGCAGCTCAACGTACATTCAACGTAAGTTAATAAGTGTATTAAAATTATGATGCATGCTACAGCTGGTGGAGATCTAAGGGAAATCTGAGGCTAGTTATCAGCTTTTCACAAATGTGAAAATTGTAGGTTGAATAAGAGGAAGTGGTAATGCCTCACTTGATGTGGGTGTTGTTACATGGGAATCAGACAGCCTTTAGCAAATTGAAGTACTGCTTCTTTTAGGAAGCGGGATCTCATCTTTTTTCTCTTATGTAGTCTACACATTTTCCTGTCATTAGTTCATTCCAGAATGGCCAATTAAGCAGGGGAGATAGTGGCTTTAGGTAAATATCTTAATGGTCCCAGCTTGTTTCTCCAAGCACCTAACCCATCCCATTCACTGTTTTGTTAAGTCATTCTGCTCATCTATCACTCTGAAAGTGGCATAACCTCTTAACTCATCAAAACCTACAAATATGATTTATTGATTTGCAGGTGAAATTTAGGCATTTTGATCAGCAAGGCTCTCTGAAAGAAATCCAGTCCTTGTGATGATGTTTAGTCCCACGAGTGCTATTCAATGACGGTAGTTCAATGACAGCATGGTGCAAAAGACCACAGTGAAAATATAACTGATACTCAGCAGAGGTTTTTCTCCAGTATCTATTCCAAACACTTAATTCAAAGTCACCTTTAAAAAATAGCAGTTACTGACTCTGTGCTGCTTCTCCCAACTCAAAACAGCCAATGTTGTTGTATTTCACTTTTTATATACATGAGGATAAATGTGTGTATACAGTTGTATAAGTTCAAAACACTACCCAACAACTTACGGAAGATGTGATCAAGATGTTCTTTACCAGAAAGCAGTGCTGCCACCTGTTCTTCATCCCATCACAGTCTTCCCAGTGCAGTGAATCTTCTTTGCCTAATTCATGATGACTTCTGAACAAACAGCCTGAACAGATGTTTATATTAACATACTTCTGCAGTGCAACTCAGATCTCACAAAACTGTCTTATTCCTCTTACTTGAAGAGACAAATAAACCCATCAGCTGTATTTGGCTTTCTTTTGCTGTTTGATGCTCACTCATTTAATTTCTCAGACTTTATTGCCTCTTTTTGTCATTGCATTTTATGAGCATCTGTATTTAACTTATGTGTCGATGTTATCCTGTGTGGTTCAGATTATCATCATCACTAGTTAATGAACTTCTTTGTATAATCCATAGCAGAAAGTTAAAAAAATAGGATATAAGTTTGCTCATTGGTTGTTTTTTGGTCTTGTTTTGATACTCCATTAATACTGGCCATATATGATTTAGAAGGAAACCCTATTGGTTGTGTTAAGGAAACCCTCCTTTTACATATATAATTTCTGTAGGCATCTGATGCAGATGTTTCAGAAGTTGTGTGACTTGCAAGGAAGCAGTGCCTTCAGTCTTTTTGTATCAGATACAGTATGGTGTTCAGAGTGTTGCTTGCCTTTTTAATAGTTAAATGAATATTCTTTTCTCTCTTGTTCCTGCTACAAAATGGAAAAGAATCTTAACATTTAACTTCATGTTTTCCTATTGTCCAGTTAGTGGTAACTGCAAAAAAAAGCATACAAAGCCAGTTTATGGTATTTCTGTGGCAACCTGTTCATTGGTAAAGATCATTGCTGAAATCTGAACACAAATCTCAAAATTACAGAAATAAATTAGTTCTTTTGCATAATGATCCAAACCAAGTCAAATATAAAAGCTATAAACACAATCCTGGGAGAATTGTTTGAAGGTGAATTTATCAATTATTCAAAAGGGTTAGAACACCTATTGCTATTTAATCACTCTAATATTATATTAGCAGAGGAATGAGGACATACTAGTGGAAGTTAACATATGTTACTAAAAGTTAAAAATGCCTTGTGTTATTAGTGGACCATTTATCTCTGGATAAGTTCTGATAGAACAAGTAGTTCACTTATGTGGTCATTAAATGTCACAGAGATTTTAGTGGGTTTGCAAGAGGCGGGTGGGGAATTATATACTGCAGCCAGCCATTTAATACTACTCCTCAATTTTTTCTCATCTTGTTTGTTACTGTTTAAGCTACACTCATAGATACACACTTTTTAGTAGCTACATCTTTGTGTAGCCTTGAGAATTCATAGTAATCCTGATAATGTCTGGTGAGTAGTCTGAGGGTTGAGTATTTTTTTGCTGTTGTAGCGGAGTTTAGACATACTTTTCTCCCTCATTAATGATGTCAAGGGAATACAAGCAAGTGGTTAAACAGGTATGCAGCTTTAGATTTCAGAAATATCCTGAATGCAATACAGAAAACAGAAATCTGATTATTTTGTTTCTGAAGGATAACCTGCTCAAAGGCTATCAAGGAGACTATGATAGAATAAAATGCAGTTATGTTATCGTAAATGGTTGATGGGTTTTTTAATAATAGGCAACTCCTTCATAGTTTTATTTATAAACATTTTATCTGTTAAATGTTAAATGAGGAGATTAAATCTCATTGTGAAGGTATAGAAAGAGCTACCAAGTCAGCAGATCTTGTTCAATTGCTCCTGTTTCCTTTATGGTTTGAGTTAAAACAGTTGATTTTAAAGGTGGGGTTATTTATAAAAGCTCTGCAAGGGCTAGGATCTGGTCTCCAGTTTTTAATCAAATAGTGATATCATGCAATGGTGACAGTTATTTATTAATTAATTAATTTCCCAGTAGTCGATAAGGAAGGTGCTGGACAGGAGCTACTACAGTTGGACTGATTAAAGTCAGGAGCTCTGATACGTTCATATAATTTTTTTTTTTAAATTGTCCATAACCCTTTTGCAGAGTTAATAATTTCTTCAACAAATGTTTGAATAATGCAGAAGTTCCAGAAGACATGAAGGAAACTGAAGGATGACAAGAAAACTAGCAGTGAACCGCAGTGTTATAAAGAATAACTCATAGGTCTGTCAAGATGACATTACTATGGGAAAGAATAATGAAAAAAAGAAATTAAGCAGGGTAAAGGAGGCAATGGCAGCTGATACTGATTATGGAAACCATTTAGGAAATAAACTGGATCTTTTTTAAAATATGTTCATACAATTGTTTGCTAAAGGTGCAAGTGTTGATGCATATGACTTATGCCTCTGTAGGGCATTTGTCATTTTTACACGGTATCTTGGTTACTAAATTATAATGACAGAAAGTCAGCAAAGTAGTCATCATAAAATGGATGGAAAAGTGTTTACAAGACAGGATTTAAAACTGGAAAACATCACTGGACAGGTTCTACAGACAACATATAAATTAATTTACATGACATTATCAGCCTGCTAGGTGCTTGAAGTACATGGGGTGGGGGCTGATCCACCCTCACTGCTTCTTATTACACTCAATTTCATGTTACTCTTGTAGTTACATTTACCTGTTGCGGGTTCTTTTTAATTTAAGCAATAGTTTTAATTTACACCCAACGCAGCAGCAAGAAGGTGAATGGAAATGTTTACATTCGCCCTGTAGAACCAGAGGAAGGTCCAAGGCCTCATTTTCTGTAACAAAGCTTTTATGAGCACTTGACAATGAGATTATGCAATGGCTCCAGCTCTTGGTGGAATAGCTGGCGCTGGCATGTGAGAGCAGGAGACTGCCAAAAGCCTCCACATGGTTGGCACCTACGAAGTGCCTGTCAGTTTACTTATGTTCCTAATCTGACAGACGCTAAAAATAGTTCAGGTGGCTGCTTTCTGCAAAGGAAAAAGTCATGTTCCTCTGGATATTTATATTAGGAGAGAAGGGAACAATTAGTGAATTGCAGTCTATTTACTGCCAAGCTTACAGTTGAGAATATATAGTAGAGCTTTTTCATTTACTATAGTTTCTTGAAAAATACTGAAACATCACAGGGAAAGGAAGACTTTACAGTGTGGAACCTGAAAATACTGCATGTATTTTGCTCATGAAATGGCATTTATGGCATTACTTTAAAATGACTTAAGTTTAAGCACACAGTTGTTTCTGTCTTTGTAGTAACTAATGCACTTTTTTTTACAGCCAGCAATCAGCTGAAGACCTTGCAAGAGTGCCTGTTAATTCTACCAGCAATATCTTGAATAGGCTATTGCTCAGTTATGATCCCAGGATAAGGCCTAATTTCAAAGGTTTGTCAGATATTTCAGCCTTTTTTTTAATGTTTGGAATTTAACTTTTGCTCTTTCCACACACAGAAAATTTATATAGAGATAATATTCACAACCTTTCTGCTTGTTTTTTTTTTAAATGGAAATTTCCCTAGATAGTCTGAAACTGTAGAAGATATTTACCCTTTTGAGCTGAAAGGTAATACGTTAGGATTTCATGATCATAATAGTATATGATGCTTTATTATTATTATTACTACTTCTACAATTATTTTGTTAAAAAAATTTTCAAAGTAGAATTAGATTTTATGGAATAAATTTTTAAAATGTCTTTTATCCCTACATTTTAGTTAGACTTTAGTAGTATCTCTGCTTTACAGTATTTTAAAACATCAAAATTCTCTATAGACATCCTTTAAGATGACTTTATAAAAATTGGGATCTATAGTATCACTACTTGGAAACCATGCAGTTCTTAAATCCTTTAAGGGTATGTTAGTAATACAGCATACACACTTTGGGATTTCAAATAGGTAATAAATTTAAATGCATTCTCTGACTTTGAAACATCTCCCTGGTAGTCAAATGTTGTAGGAATCCATGTAGGCAAATGTGATTTCCTTACATATGCAGAAAAGGACGGAATACATATTCTTTGCAAAACCTCTAACAACTCATACAGCTGTAAATTACACTTTCCAGGAATTAGACTATTTCCCTGCTGGAAAAAGGCATTGACAATTTTCTTACATTACAGACACTGCCGTTTACATAAGTCAGTTCTTTCATTTTAAAACTTACATTTAATTATATGTACATTAAGAGATATTTTAACATGCATATCAGTAGTATGAGAAAATTGGAAATCTATAATCTTTATTGTGCTTTTTCAGATGTTCTGTTTAACTAGGCTTTATGAATGTGTTAAACTCAGTTCTCAGCAAGTGTCCTGCTTCTTTCTTATTCTCTGTAGAATCATATTTATATGTTTTCAGCACTGAGCTTTGTCACAAAGAATAAACGTCCAGCCTCTGCTCTACCTGTTCTTCAGCATGATCAGCTTGTAATCGCAAAGCATGTTGCAGATTTCTTTATATTTACCAGACCCTGCTGGCAGTCTGGTAAGAATCAAGACAGAAGGAAAAGGGAGGACATGTAATGTTAACTCACAGGGAGGTGGAAGAAAAAGAACATTTTCTGACAAGTGGTTTGCTCATGTTAAAATGTTCATCACACATGAGTGATTTTCTTGGACAGCACTTGCTATTCAAATCTGGAAGAGACAGCACACTCTTGTCTATTAGTGATGTGGTGGGTGCTGTCACATGCATCAGGCACTAAAGAAAGTATTATGCTTATTGCATAACCAAAAGCATCACACTTAACTGATCTAGTTTAAGAAAAACCCCACAAACTGTTCTAACTGAAAAAAGTGAAACTTTATCTTTGTGATTTTCTGGTGAACCAAGAAAAAGAGTTTAAATTTATGTCTTAAATGTACACTGAAATATTTTATGCAGACAAGCAAACTATTAGCTGCGGCATACATTACTTTGTACTGTATTTGCTTACTCTGTCAAAATAGTCTTCATATATTTGTATATCTCTTTTATTGCTGAAAATAGGAATAAACCCACTGAATTAAGTATTTGTAACAGTGTAAATGAGATCAGATACATGCATCTAGGGTGTATACTGGCACTCTCAACATACAGGTGCTGGAATAAAACTAGTGGACCATAATTAGTTCTCACAACCACCAGGCCACTTCTCCCTGCGTCGTGATAACTCTCTGCTAACACCAGATTAAATGATTGCCAGTCAGTTCCCGCAGGGTGACAGAGGGCAGATGTAGCAGCTGTCACACCATCCCTCTTCAGCTACGGGAATCCTGGCTGTGGAAAAGAGGAAAAAATCCAGGTCATCTTAATATCTTCCCAGCTGCTGGCTTCTAGAAGTTTTTCTTGGCAAATTAGTAACCATTGCAAAAGGGAGCAGCTTACCAGCTCTCTTGCAGCAGCTACGCTAGATAGTTGTGAAAAATGCATGCAACAATTTTTAGCTGCCTGTATTCATACTTTACAGTTATGTACTTGACTTGCACAAAGAAGTGTACTCTTACAATATAAGTAAATGTCTCATCATAAGTAATAAACAGGTAATTTGGGATGATAGATCATCATTATGACCTTGACCGTTAAATGTGTCTGCTACTAGAAATGTGAATTGCCTCTATCCATTACATTGTGTGAAAAAGTAATACTGGATTGTGCTTTCTGTGATAACAGAAAATCATGGAATTTGAAAATTGCTCAAATTTATGATCTGTGAAATGCTTTAAGCTCAGCACTCTGGACTAAGAGTATTATTTTTTTCAATTTTCTTATCGCTAGGTTGAAGAGTTTTTATGATTTCTATTGGCTTTCAATGGAAATAGATTAATCCACACCTTTTGAAAACTTTATATACTAACTTGAAAAGATAAAGTTGTATGACCCTATAAAAATCATTTCACATTGTGATACCAGTATAAAGGAGCTTTAAATGAACGTTTACTGGATTGTGCAGTTCACTAGAAATTTTATTCTTTTTTTAAAGGAATTCCAGTTGATGTTGCAGTCAACATCTTCATTAACAGCTTTGGGTCAATTCAAGAGACAACTATGGTAAGACTGAAATTAAATTAATATAGCACACATGGAGATTTTCTTATTAAATTACAATTCAGGCTAAGGATTATGAACTATAAAGTAGAAACGATTGTTATAATTGTAGACACTGAGAACTGAGTTAATGGGGTTAGTAGTTAGTGATAGGCTGACCATGCTTTATGCCATAAACCTATTAATTTGTCTGCAGATTGTTGTAGCTTTTAGAATCTGATGTACATGAAAGGAAATCCATGGTTTTTAAGATGCAAGAAATACACTTATTCCGTAAGTTATTAAGTTCAGGGGAAGAACACATTTGTTAGCATGAATTAAGAAATCTTCCTGAGAGTTAATACACAGGTTGCTTGATGTATCACTGAAGAAAATACTAGGACTGTATATGAGAGAAAAAGAACACACATGCATAAGGCTGAAGCATACAGGTTCTCTGTTTTATGTATATCTGAGGATAGGAGTAAATCGTGGAGCAATAGAAGGAGGAGGAGTAGAGGAGTAGACTATCAATGACCATACTCTTACTCCTGTTTATTTACTGTGTGAGAGAGATAAACTGAGGAGTGACATTTCTAAAAATGTGTTTCCAGTTCAGTCATAAAATTTCAACATGTTAATAACAGCACCAAATAATCCTCATTACAATTTTGACTTTTTTTTTTTCCTTTAGGAAATAAAATCTAATTCAAAATAAGAAGTCATTTCAGCAAAACCCTTTCCAATATTTTGGGGTTTGAAGATCTTTTTTGCACTGGCATTTCCAATAAATACTGTCAAAAATATTGCCAGAAGATTACATTTAATTGTTGAAGGTGTTCTGACCTGATCGGGGTTTTTCTTTTGTGTAAAAAAGAGGGTGTACACCATGTCTTGCCAGTACGTGGACAGCCACAGCCGGGGCATGCACTCAGAGTGGAGTTTTGAGGTGCTCCCTGAGCATCCCATTTAGAAATAACTTTGATGATCTGCTGCATCCAAAGCATTGAGACTGTTCCCAAAATCAGGCTTCTTTTTTTAATGCTGTGACTAAGGCAGCATTCCTACTCGTAATGGCACAGAAGCAATAAACCATAATATGGCTAATAAATAATAAAACACCTTTTGTTATCGGTGGAAGTAAGTACCCCCTTCGGAACCAGCTTACGTGATACCCTAATGACATTTCAGAAGGACTGCAGAACCGCTCAAAGTTAAACATATGTGATGGCTGAAACAGCTTTTGAACAGCTTGGCCAGAAATTTCTGTTTCTCTAACTAGGAGTAAATAAAGATTTAGATTTGATTGCAGATGATAATAACTCAACTAATGGCATTAGTGGGAAGTGATATTAAAACAAAGAATGTAAGTATGCTGAAGATATCTAGAGTTTTATTTCTGAAAACAAAAAGGGGAATGAAGTTTAAAGAGGGACAGGGAGGAAGAGCAGGAAAGTAGGAGTGAGATAAGTGTCTAAGATGGCAGGTATATTAGGCCAGATGGCCCTTTCAAGTTTCTGAAATTTATTGCATGCTTTAAAAAGTGCCTTTTACAGAGGCTTTTTTACAATTCACCCAGATCCAAATAGTAACAAAACATGAATTTAAGGGGTGTGCTTCCCCCCTGCCCCAATTAAGTATGCTCTTTACAGCAATGCATGTATGCCTGTCTGTGAATTCCTGATATGGTCACTCACAAATTTACCAGGATGTTCTGTAAGATGTCATGCTCTCCTCCATATTTCAGAACTTCAGACACCATCCTTACTTTAATTTATGCTTTTATTTAGATTTCCGTATCCAGTCGATCACCATGATAGCTAAGCATGTTTATGTGAAGTTTGGGTTACTTCTTGGTTGCCTTAATGTATTCACAGGAAGGACTGACAAAAGAAATGGTCAATCTGTTCTTCCATATATATCACTTGGGAAGCTCTTCCTGCTGCAGTGAGCATTGGGTCCTGTGGACATTCAGGAACCACTGCTCTCTTGGGGATAGGCTGGTCTCCAGATGGCACCAGACAGTAGAAGCAAGTCCCTTAGACTAGGAAAAAACTTGTACCTCCAGAATCACAGGAAAAATGTTTCCTGAAGCTGAGCCTCTAAGCCTATGAAGGACCGGATAGACCTCTTGCATTCAGAAAGGAGAGACATTTGCAGGCAGTAACAGAACTGCTGAAAAAGGTTTCTCAGTGTTGGAAAAGAGGGTGGCTGTCTGCATCTCTACTGTCTCAGGCACTGGTGTGAATCATGAGTAATAGCAATTTCTTGACTGTCTCTAAAGTTACCAGAAGCTTCTAAACTGGTTGCAGTGATACCATTACTGATACCAAAATCCGTGAAATAATGTATTTCCAAGGATTTCAGTCAATGAAATATCATGACAATTCTTGGCTCTGTAGCCACTCTTGGCTGTAACAGCTGAATTCATAGCTTTTCACAAAATCTATGTAGGGGCAAAGCATCCTTTTTTAGCCATGCTAAAGGAATGATTCCTTCTTTTGTGTGATGGAAGGGTGGTGAAAAATAAGTATGGGTGCCAGGTGATTGGAAGTGAGGTGGTGGTAGAAGGCCCAACAAACAAATGTGTAGAGTGCCAGTGAGAAAAGGCCATTCGGCTTGTTGATCTCTTTTTGTTCATGAGGATGTTAAAAGAGATGCAGAAGTAAATATCTTAGACCCGCCTCCGAAATAGCTAACTCTGGGCTTAATATCTGGAACTTCTAACTAGTCAACAGGCTGTTGTTGACTGTCTCTTGCCTTGACACCATGGTGGCTGGTTTTGATGGTTCCTCATGTATTTCAGAAATCTCACAAATTTGATTTTTTTTTTTTTTTTATTATTTTTTGCTTGCTGTCCTTCTGGTCCCATGATGATTGCATTCTTAGCTATGCAGTTGGCTCGTCCTCAACAAAAAAGAGTAGAGATTACCTCCCACAAAAGTAGTGTCTACTTAGTTTTAAGAGAGAAGGAAATTTCTTTATAGAAGGGCATTGACAGGTTTGAAGTAATACTGGTTTGAAGCAAGATAGGACCCATAGTGTGGATCCTATGTCCAGAAGCTTTTATTTGTTTAATCAACCCTTATGAAGAAACTGAAGGGCAAATGTTTGCTCTGTGTCTAGAAAGGGTAATGTTCGTGTTGTGTTGTTGAATACTCAAGAGAATTGTGATGTTTTCACACACGTATCAAACAAGTTACCTGGAAAAAGTAAACAAAAAATGAGTTAACTACAGAGAGAATAAGAATTTGTACAGCTAAAATGGAGAAGAGCTTATACCAGAGCTGCTACCTTCCAGTAAGTTCCCTTTATCTTGAAATTTGTAACTTGGTTCCTTCTAGCTCATTAGACTACTGGTTTAGGATCCCCATGCTAACTCTGCTTCTGATTTTGCAGCTGTTTTTTTAGACTGCAGATTTGTGGGATAATGTAGTGATTATGTCACATTTAAAAATGGCTATAGACTGGATGACTTGTCAAGAATTCCTAGGGATAGATCATTTCTGTTATAAATACCCATAGGGCTATAATATTTTAGCTGTGCTGATGATCTGACCCTCTGTCTACAGAATCTATATATAAGGTTTGTACTTGCAGTGTAACCTTTCTTCTTCACTGACTCAAATGGCAAAACACCACTTCCTCCTTCTCCTTTACTTTACATCCTTGCAGAAAGGTCTTTTAAATATTTATGTATATAAAGGAAAATTCAGTTTCCTTAACTGTTTCCTTTATCTGTTAGGTCCTCCTAGCTCCAATGCTGATGAGTACCTCTTCCACTCCCCACCCCTAGTTTCAAGCTTTTTAGTTGCTGTTTGGCCCCCTTTTGTTATAAAATGCCCATCATTCTGCAATATTCAAAGCATGTTTGGAAAATGTATAGGAGGAAGACCATGTGCTTCATGCAGACCACTTCTTCAGCCTCTATTGAACCTAATTGTAGTGCACATACTGCATCCTAAAATTCATTGCCCTAATTTGAGAGGACTGGTTGCAGACTTCTTTCAAAATAGATTTATACCAGATCATAGTCTATACTCCTGCCAGATTCTCTAATAGTTCATGTTCTTCTAAGAAGAAGCCCTTCTGCACATCATTGTCTGGCTAGCCACAGTTTTGTGTCCTGACATCTCTTTGCTTCCTTCTACATGCCTTGCCTCAAGTATGTGGTGGCCTTCCTGTCCAAGTACTCCCTGTCACAAGTTTCTCGTCATTTAGGTAGGTCTCAACCTACCTATTTTAGGTTAATGGGATTTTTCTTCCATTGACTTAAATGGGAACAGAAGCAAGTTCTTGAAGTGTCACAACATCCTGTTCTTTGGTATATTTAAGCTCATTTGTAATAGAGCAAGGAAGGAAATAAAATAGTATCCACCTGATCTTACTAGTTCCAATTCTTATTTTGCCAGTGCATTCTGCTTTTCAGTGATGTAAACATCTCCTCCTTCTGAATGGGTAAGCTGAAGGCAAGTGTTGGACACTGCTTATCATTTGCCTATGGCTTTGAGAAGGCATCTTATTTTGTTAAAATTAGGGTGATGCACTCATTTATGAGGAAATTAGTTTTGGTGTAATGAATAGTGTAATGTTTGTGAGCATGCAGTATTTATCTGATATGGTTTAAAGTAATTGTTTTCACTGAGACAAGAAGTGCATATGGAATGGAAACTTCAGCGAGAAGCAAGTAAAGTAAATTTTCAATTATATACATATAATTGAAAAGATCTTTTCTGAGATAATGACCTGAATTCCCTTCTGTACTGCAGCTTCTCTATGAGAGCCTTCCAGTACAAAATCACTTCATATTAACTATTATTTTATACTTCTTCTTTACTTTGACAAGATAATATAGGTCTTTGTATAAATAAGAGTCAGACTACATATATTTTTTAAAAAAAGGACTGCCAACAAGTAACATGTCTCTCAGAACTATGCATATTAATAAATAGTGCCTCAGTTCTTTCTACTTAGTTTTGATGCTTTGCTTTTCCTTACAATGCAAAGAAAAAATATTACACAGTATAGTGTAACAAAGAAATACCTGGGCTGATCTGACTGGGGGGCTTGACATGGGGAAGTAGGCACCATATTCCAGTTAACAGGGTAAATCAACAGGGTAAATTATTCTGCATGAGGTCTTAGCCAAGTGAACTCCTTCCTGTTGGAGTTACCATGTCTCCACATGGCACTTGCTTTGGACTGTAAATGTACACATTGTAGTAAGTACAACAGAAGAGAACTCGCATTATATCAACAGAAAAAAGTGCAAGAGGGCATTAATATATAAACAACTTCATAAAATTAGTTTGTTATGCAGAATACATTAACAAACCAAAAATATGTTGAGAACCTTCACTCACAGATTTCTATCAATTTGCTTTAATTGTAAAGTAGTAGCAGTGTTTTCACTGCTCTAAAAGACACAGCCCTTATCTCAGGATACTTTGCACCTAATAGACAATTATGAAAAAACAAAACACACCATAGAAGATAACTAGAAAGACTGGAGATAGAAGTTATCTTATATTTAGAGTTTTGGTTTATTTGGTTGAATTTTTTTGCTTTGTTTCAGCAATACCTTTATTCTTTTTCTGTATGTGATCTGCCTAGTTGACATACACTTAAAAAAGAGGCACTCACTTAAATGTAAATGTAAAAAGCCGAAAGACTCAGAGGTAAGACTGAAAAATCATAAATCTGACATACTGGGTCAGATTTTTCCTTTGGATGCACACAGCTTTCTCTAAGGACAGAACATGTGGAGGTATTGTTTTGCCCTGAGACACGTGCAACTCCAATTCCCAAAGGCGAAATTAGGTTCTCATTGAGCATGGCTCTACTACTGTCCATCCTTGAGCAAGAGTCCTGATTGTGTAAACCCTTGATATTGTCTCTTTGAGACCTCTTCTGTTTCTGCTTTCATACGTGCTACCTCAGCACTTGTGTTGCAAGCTGGCATCACTTTTTCTCAGTTGCCAAAATAGTCCCAAGTCACTGTTGCAATGTCTGGGGCTGTGTTCTGGGTGTGTAGTGTAAAACCTATTATCTACCTGGTCTGTTTCCTGCTTTTATAGTCTGATTATTTTGCCATCTGTGTGCCACAAGCAAATGGCAAATAAGCTGGAATTTACACTCGCAGGATATCCTGGTAGAAGTGATACCATGCCTGTTGCCTGCAGCAATTTAGTGTAGTCAAGCTATGGCCTCCCTCTGCCCTGCTGCATGCTTTTCTCTATGCCTAGAAAACAGGGGCTACTATCAAGGGGATGCAAAAAAGATTCTGTGGGGGATTAATTTGGTCCTTTTTTAAAAGAAAGTTACAATATTCAAAACATGAGTGAGACATAATCTAGCTATTTGTAGTAAAGTCTACTAAATTTAACAGATTAATGTCATTTGAATAGTGATTACTATCTTTGTGGTAGAAAAATGAGGGCACAAATTGTTTTTCTCTTCAGAGTCTGATGGAACAGTTTTCTTTCTCTGTGGGTTTTTGGCTAGACTTTTGGTTAGTCTAATATTTATGTATTCCTCCCATCAGGATTATAGAGTCAACATCTTTCTAAGACAGAAGTGGAATGACCCTAGACTCAAACTTCCCAATGACTGGAGAGGTTCAGATACACTGACAGTGGACCCAACTATGTTTAAATGTCTTTGGAAGCCGGACTTATTCTTTGCAAATGAAAAAAATGCTAACTTCCATGATGTCACACAAGAAAATATCCTTCTTTTTATATTTCGGGATGGAGATGTCCTAGTCAGCATGAGGTATTTTAATGATATATTTCTACTCTTTTTTTAATTTACCTGATCTGAGATATATATGCTGTGTTAGACTTAGTAACATAATACAATTTATGACTAAATTTATACGACAGTTTGTAAACAATACTACAATAAATTAAATGTGTGTAAAGAAATAAAATTAAGATATTTTAAGGCATCTCAATTGATAGCACAGTAGGTACTAGAAATTTGAAGTGTATGCATGTTTGTATGTCATGTTAAGCTAACACATTAAGTAAACTAATATTATTGGAAACAAAATTTAAACCGTTTTGATAATTGCTTAGATTCCTGGAAACATAATGAAGTGGATAAGATATCCGAAGTAAAGCCTTCAACAAAACAATATAATTTGCACACCACTTGAATTTCTACATCAACTAAAGAAAATAATGATTACTTACTAATGATATAAAGGCAGAAATTACAAAATTTGTGGATATAAATGTTTTGTAAAAGTACTGGGACATAATCCTGATTAAGTTCTATGGTTTACTGGATATAGATTTGTTCAGAAGACCCCAAAATATTGTTTAATTTCATTGCAATTATTGCATACTTTTTTGTGACTTGACTTGGTTTATCAACGGTATACACCATGCAATGAAAAAAATCATCCACTGAAAATAGATCATTGGTTGATTAAGAAGGATCTCATAATGAATTACACATCGGCAGAGTTTATAGACACAGTGTTTTTTAGAGATTAGGCTCAATTTCCAAACAGTGAGTGAATTTTCTTCTGGTGTGAACGGGAACATATTGCCCTGATGGAGGAAAAAATTATTACCTGAATATATAGTTAATATAGTTACAGTTAGGAAACTGAATGTAGGAATAAACAGCTAGTGCTCACATGAGGAGAAGTAAGTGGTAGAGTCCGACAGAAAAATCTCTTCTGGGTCCTGTGCTGTTCAACATAAATTGTCTGGAAAACTGTGAATTGGCAGACACTTTTGATGAGGCCAAAATATACAGGGTAGTAAAGATAAAGAGTCAACAGTGAGAATTACTAATTAATCTAATGACTAGGCAACAAAGTATGAGATGAAATTCAGTGTAAATAACTGAAAATGATGCGCATAGGAAAAAAATATTTTAACTTTACATAAAACCAGATTGGTTTTGAGGTGGTTATTACCAGCTATGAAAACGACTTTTGGGTAATAACGGCTAGTTCGCTGAAAATGTCAGCTAAGGCTCAGTACTGGTTGAGAAAGTGAACTGAATTCTAGGAAGTGTTAGGGGTTAGAGAGAACGTCATGCCACTGTATGAACTTATGCTATACTTGCACCTTTAATACAAAGTGCAGTTCTGGTCTACCCACTGCAAGAAGGAAGGCAAGGATGTTCAAAGGTACAGAACAGCCAGGCAAGGCAGAACTTTTCATGCTGGAAAAAACACGATAATTGAGGTGGCGGCATAGAGGTCTCTAAACCATGAATGGCACAGAGAGAATGGGTGGACATTGATTTTTCACCTTATTTTCCAGGAAAAGAACTATAAGACAGCCTCAAGATAGATAAAAGGAGATGATTAGTGATCCTGATGTGTGCAGCTTAGCTATAGCATTCCTTGCTGCAGGATGCTGTGCATGATTAAAGTTTACACAGATTCTAGAGAGCAACTGGAAGCAAAGCAGTTTCCTGGAGGGAAAAAAAATCTGTCGAGGTCCCTTGAAGCATCACTTCTGGTTTAGGAAGTCCCTGAGGTGCAGCTTTTGGGATGCTGCTGGATATCTGGTGAAATATCATCTCCTGATTGCTGTAGTCTCATATTCTTCTTCAGGAGTCTGCCATTGGCCGCTGCTGGAGCCAGGACTCTGTTCTGTATGGACCTTTGGTTTGGTTATTCTTATGACTTACGTGTATTTTGTCATGTATTAGTAGGTCTCTAATTTGTGAACTACTATATGTTTAAAGCTCTCTATAATATTTTATTTTTAGGCTACTAGAGAGAGCTCAATTGCAAACTGCTACTTATTATAACTTTAAATTTTTCTGCAGTTTTAGAAGCTGAAAATGAAATACAAGTGATTTTTATTCTTACTGCTGTCTACTGCTTACATGGCAGCTCACACTGTTTTTAAATTCCATTTCTGTGTTTTCAGATTGTCTATTACGCTGTCATGCCCTTTGGACTTGACCTTGTTTCCTATGGATACACAGCGCTGCAAGATGCAATTGGAAAGCTGTATGTAAATCAGTCTGTGCATAAAAACGGTTGCCTTCTAAGCGTGTCTGAGAATCAAACAAAAAATGATCAATTCTGTATTATTCATGTCAACATTTTTAATGGATCTTGAAATTAATGTTCACTTGTTCCTACCAACGTACATTTCCCTATCAAAAATGTTTCTTACAGTTATGGCACCATGCACTCTTTTAGCTTTTGCTATCAAATGTAATGACAACTGATGAGTTTTATAAAAAGATTTACAATAGAGTTAGTAAAATGGAAAATGGAAACACGTATCATTTGCAAAAAAGAATTCACGGTTTCCCCCCCCGTAGTTTAACTTCCATAGCCTGTGCTGCTTTGTAGGTTGTTGGGGTCCAATTTATCCCCTTGCATTGATGATGCATGGTATTGTTTGAAACTCTTTTGTTACGGTACTAAAATAAAGATATTTGATGCCAATACATTGAGAGCATTTAGTATGAAACCTTTTGAAGGTGGTTTCAAAATGTGTTGTGGATGTAGTCAGGCATCTCCTTTACCAATCCTTCCCTGGTCTGTAGGTGTTTTGATTTTATGAAGGGGCAGCTATGTCTCATCTCTGAAGGGCTTCATGCCATGCTGGAGGTTGCAGCCAAAATGTTTCTGAAACTCATCTTCTTTCCTGCTCCCCAAGTACAAGGGTGCCTACTCAAGTACAGCCTTTTCCCAACACTCCGATCCCTGGTGATCCCACTTTCATGGTAATTATGTTTTCCTGAGTAAGGACAAGTGTAAAGCAGAGAGAAGGTAGGTGTCTTGCTCCAGCCAGTTCCTGCTATAATACAAAAACTTTGTTCAGTTGTTACTCCACCAGGTCTGGTGAGGAGGTGAGGTTGGGGAAGGGAAGACAAAAGTGAAGAAAGTGTAAGGTTAATCAAAGCTGAGCAGGTCATCCCAGTGGGGACAAGGGTAATAATAGTAATAATGATATCAGAACTTTACAATTTAGTTTTTGATTGCCAGCATTTACCTTTAGAATTGTAGTATGCCTGTAGTAGTTTTGACCATCACTAATATGTATATACATTAGCTGAAATGAACTCTTATGGTAAACCCTAATCAATTTGGGGTTAAACTGGAATTAGACAGCAATATTAATGGAAATTTGCTCAAGCTTTCTCAGTCTGTGTTGCTTTACAAGCATTGCAAGGTGTAGTTAGGAAAGGAAGAACTACTCATAAAAAAAATTGTCAATAACTTTATTTAAAAAACCTTATTGTCTCTCTCCATGCTAAGTTGATGTATGGAAATTCAGGAGGAATGTGGTCCTTTCGAAAGACAGTGTGCACTAAACTTTGTTATACTTTTTAATTCAGTTGTCAAAAGTAAGAATGGTACCCATGACCTCCTGTCTGTCCCTCCAGTTCCAACAGTGGGCTTGCTCTCCCTGTTAGCCATTGGCTGTTTTAATTCTACTTAAGTTATTTTCAAATCAATTTTTTGTTTCTAGTTGCTAGATTTCCAAAACAAACAGGCCACGAGTTTTTCCTAAGCTGTTCTTGTATCTGCAGTTATGATCCCCGGTTCTACACATTCCCTATAGACAAAATTTTCACTGTCCAGTAATTGTTATCATAAAGGATCTTGGTGGTTTTGTGATTTGCTGTATGTTTTAAGGGATGAGACTGATTTCATGAATGAAGCATTAAAGCAACAGTTTTTAATATTATCTTCCATCATGGAGCTTTGAGAGATTGTTATTTTTATTAAGTTGTTGTGAATCTTAGCAAAGATGTTTTTCAGCTTTAAAAAAAAAATCAAAAAAAACCCCCACCCAGCTGTTTTTCAAAGAAAAAAACCCCTGTCTTAATGCCTCCAGAAAAAGAATGGTTCTTTAAACATTTTTCAGAGGCTTTGAATTGCAAAATGCTACATTCCAACTCCCATCTTTTTTATGTTTCCCCATCTCTGTTCCTATTTAACACACATTATCACTGTTTGAATTAAGTTAATCCTTAATAAATAGAAGATAGCAGAAATATGGCGTGTAAAATTATAATTATGATTATGCATATTTAATCAATATTGCTTTATGCTTTAATACTGTGACCCTAACTTTCACTGCATCTCACTTGGTGGTGTTGTATGTATCATGATTTAGACACTCAGATGTATGCTGACATCTGTCCATACTCAGGTGATCATGAAGGCACTGAATTGATTTCAGTAGGATTATATATCTACTTAAATTGCTGGTCAAGTATTTCCTGGATGGCAATGCTTTCATGAATCAGGGCCTTTAATCTGAACAACTAAGCAGAAAGTTTGTTTTACACAAAACCCAAGATTCATCACAGTAATTGAGTTGTTAAATTCTTTTGAAGTTACTAGGACTTGTGAATGCTGTTAAAGTTCAGTAGATTTTTCATGCTTTGCTGAAGTAGAGCATGAATGAATATGGAGGCTTCAAAGCTAGATTTTCTTGCAGAGTTTACTCTGAGATGATTCTTTATTATTATTGTCTTGTTCTTGTAGTTGGTTACACAACTGATGACTTACGGTTTATCTGGCAGTCTGGAGATCCTGTACAGCTAGAGAAAATTGCTCTGCCTCAGTTTGATATTAAAAAGGAGGATATTGAATATGGTAACTGTACCAAGTATTACAAAGGCACAGGTAGGTAATATAAGCGATTTCCTTGGTAAAAAACTTTAAGCTTCCTTCAATTACTGTTTATAGTTAATTGTTAATATTCCAGTTTATTTCTAGCATTTCATGGGATAAAATAGATTACTTCTAACTAACAAGTAGTCCATGTAACAGTAACTATCATATATGATTAATGCAATTTAATTCAAATATAGAAACATCCAGGCTGAAGATGAGATCAAATGTTTGTCTTGGTTTTGCTTACATGTCTTGTGCTCTCACTATCACCATTTTGTTTCTATAGTCCTAATACCCATTTATTCTTGTGTCTAACTTTTCTGAAAGGATGTTCATGTAGAACTATGCAAGTTGCAGCAAAGTAGGCTAATTTTGGTTTCCTGGTTTGACTTTTGTTCCAGAAGTAGTATTAGAGTGTAACTTCAAATGCTTCGCCCTGCAGGTTCTTCCTTTCTCTAAGTGTTCTGGAAAATCTGTCATTATAGAAAGCTGCTTACAATCCTCAGCCCTGTATTTATTTAATCCTATGATTATTTTCTGAGTGTGGGCACGAATTTATCCAATAGTTTCTGTACTCTGGCTTCTAATGATTTATCTTTTCTACCTTGATTGATTCCTGCCTATAATTATATCCAAACTAGCCTATAATTATATCCAAACTACTCTCATACTGTGGCAACTGCAAGACTTTCTACAATAACAGAAGTCAGCAGGGTGTATTTTAGTCAGTGCTCTTGCATCATATGCATAAATCTCCCATTAAAACTCAAGGACAGCTGTGGTGCTGCAGCTTCTGAGGACCCTCTGCAAGTTTCTTGCTGACTACTCAGCTGAATTCAAGGGTCTGTTACTTGCAGTTGCTCCTGAGCTAGATCCCAAGTCTGAAGAGATCGCAAGTAACCTTAGTAGATCTGAAAGTTAAGGAATTTAACTTGAAAAAGATAATGAAAATCGAAATGAGGTTTGTTTTTTAACTGCAAATTGAGTGAGTTCTTAGCCTAATTACATCATTCAGCATCTCGGGTGATTTACCATTTCTAAATAAAATGAAATTAGCTCTCCTTAGGAAAATTCTGCATTTGTGAAAGCACAACCAACAACTGGCAGTGATTTCATTCAAATCTAAGTTGGGATATGGTAGAAGCTTACTTAGCAGTGAGAAAAATATTTTACCCTTAATTAAACAATGAATTTACTGAAAAAATAGGCTATAAAGTAGTGAAAAATTGAACGAATTGATCTTGCAAATCCCAAATAAAATTCATAAAAGTGGGAGAATTGGAAAACTTGGATTCTATTTGAGGGAAAAAGGAGATACTTAAGATTTCTATCTTATTATTGAAGTTATCACAATCATTTTGTGTTTTGTCCTAAATCTAAAATTAAACACCTAAAAAATCTTTAGATATTTTAGGTATTTTTAGGAACCTTAAATAAAAATCTGAGAATTGTACAACTTTGCCATTACACAAGAAAGAAAATCATTAGTGTTCTCTCCAGTTTCAGCACCTTGTGACCACAAGTTGAAATGACACCGTACAAAATGGTTTGTAAAATGGTCGCATTTTCTGTGTTTGTATGTGATTTGAGCATTAAAGAAAGAACATGAGAGAACCATCAGAGTGGGTGGATTGATGACATGAAATTTTTAAAAGCTTTCCTAATTCTTTTATTGCAAATCCTTTTTGTTTAAAAATTAAGAACGTTCGTGTTAGTCCCATAATCAAGACTGGAGTTAATACTTCATTAAAGTGAATGGAATATTTTAGTACTCTGAAGTATTTTTAAAGGGTCTTTTCAGTAATCAGTAGTTGTTTGTTTTACTTTAAATTCTTATATTGAAGGCATTTAAAAAAGCAGATTTTGCACACATAGTTAAAAGTAATTCAGTCAAGGATTTTGTCAGGTAATCAAGATGCAGTGTTGCATGTAGAAGCAAATTTTCCAAATTACATCTTATATAGGAGATCCCTGCCAGTTGCAAAGAACTTAATCTTTACTACCAATTTACATCAACTGGCATTTTATCATACCTACCTAAGTAGAAAGAGGGTCAACAAATTTGGAGTGACTTTTTGTGGCAATAAAATTTATTTATATTTATGTATTTACTTTAATAAATGACTATTTAAATTTGCAAATTGCCTATTCTTTGTCTATCAATATGTATGACAGATCCAAATAGGTTCTTGCGAGCTGAATGGTGAGGGCAATAGATACTATTCTCTGCCTGATGAAAGATGAGTCAAAGGCATGCAGAATGCATTCTGGCATAAAGGAAACCAATAATGATTTTGAAGATCATCCTTCATTTGAAAATAAATCCTAAAAGTAAATGGAAGCTCTTCAGAAATACTAGAGGGGAAATTTATCAGACAACAGATCATTGAAGAGGATAGAATGAACTATAAAATATCGTATAACGTCTTCTACAAAAGGAAATTATTCCCTAATGTTTTATTCTTTTGTTGTTTTGTTTATTGTAAGCCCAAACAGCACTTTTAAGATGACTTATCATTCTACGGCACTTAATTGATAAAATATAGAAGGAAGATAGGTAGACAGATAGATAGATTTATTTTTGACATATTCTATCTTCTATCTAAATCAGCTTTGCACCAACTTCATTGATATAGACTGATCTGAATTTTGAAATTGTTGTAATATAGCATAGGAATGCCTTTTTCTTGTGATAGAATATTGTTTTCTGGTTACCTGACTGATTATTTCCAGCAAAGACGCTAGTATCTGCAGCTTTATTTTTTATTGAATTAATCTTTACACGTTTATATCAGAACGTGTAAACGTTTTTGTACTTTATATGCTAATTTTAAAAGATTTGAGGCAGTATTCCTTGTTCTCAAAATTTACAGTATTTTTAGAGTATTTTTTAAAAAGTCTGTATAAATTTCAGAAGCCACCTGTACCAGCTTTCAGTACTGGGGGAATCTTTGCTTGGATTCACATTCAGATCACTCCTTTCCATTCTGAAATTTCTACATTAATATTTCTTAATTCCTCCGTCTTTTGCACAAATTAATGCTAAGTAGGATTTTCAGATGAGCTTAAACTAGTATTAGCTAAGCTAGCTAGCTTAAGCTAGACCCCATTGGTTTTATCTGGACTGCATCCTGAAGCCAACATCAAGATGAGTCACTTTTAACTGCCTGTTACTAACGTGCTGTGGAAAGATGGAGGGTGCCTTGTAGAGCACAGAGAGTACCACATGCCTGGCCACACTTGGTGGTTATATAGATCTGTGTTTTGAACACTTTTTTTTTCAAATTGAACTCTTTACCTGTATGAAGAAAATCAAATCATTGAACTTTTGCTCTTAACTTAAATAGAAAGAGGCCTGGAAGATACAGATTGGAAGAGGTTGACGTGCAAAGGACATTAAACTTTAATGCATTTATTTCTTTAAAGGTTATTACACTTGTGTAGAAGTAATCTTCACTTTAAGAAGACAAGTTGGATTTTACATGATGGGTGTTTATGCTCCTACACTGCTAATTGTTGTTCTATCCTGGCTGTCATTTTGGATCAATCCTGATGCAAGTGCTGCAAGAGTCCCACTGGGTAACCTGCGTTTACACATACTGTCACAATCCACTTTAACGCCATCGAGCCATTCTCAGTTGCTTTGACAACATGACACTGGACACGGAAAGCAACTTCACTTCCATTATCCGCTCATCATTTTCACTAAAACCTCCTCATTCCTAGTCCTGTAAAATCCATCTCCACATTAAGACTTCGCTTGATAATGGTTCCAGCATTTGTGCGATAAAGCACACTTTCTCTGCCCCTCTCAACCCTGACAAATCTGATCTTATCCCTGTATGGGTGGTTCTGCAGACACTGTGGCAATATGCAGTTTATAGGAATTTGAACATTTGAATAATCAGTAAAAAGCAGGATGATGCGTAAGGCTCTAAATAGCTACCTCTAGGAGCAGTTTTTCTGAAGACTAATGAAAACAGAATGATGTCTGGAAGAGAATTAGCATCCTTGTTACCTGATTTTATTTAATTAGAGACTCAGTTCATGAGAGTACTTCAGGCTCGTGCATTCACGCTGCTCAGCAGAATGCGGTAGGCAGGCCCTTCATTTATTATGAACTAGTAGGACATGGAGTTAATCAAAACAATATTATCTTAATTAATTGGAATGTACGTGGGACTGCAGCTCTGGAGTGGCCAAACCTGCTGACCCCAACAGCTCAATGAAATGTAGAGTCAGGCTCTTGCATTCTGACACTTTCCTCTTTGGATTCCCTTCCCCATGCCATGACCTCTCCTTCCCCATGCCCTGGCATCCCCATGCTCCTCTTTTCCCTGGCACTTCCACCTCCCCAAATATTTTCCATGTCCCAGGAAGTTCAGCGCCCCTGTTCTCAAGACCCCAAGGATGAAGTTGCAGAATCCCTCCAGCTGCCTGCCTTCTTCAGAAACCTCTCACCCACACTTGAACCTCCACACCCCCAGAGGATGGGATTCCTGTGCAGCCTCAGGTGCATGAATGTGTGTTGATAAGCACTGGAGACCCTTGGAGTCAGGACCTGCCACATCACCTTACCAGTCTGTGGCTGTGATCTGCAGAGTCTTGCAGCAGTGGGTAGTTGAACTCCCTGTGTTAAGAGCCAGCTGGAGCAGGAGTGGTGCCGAGTTTTGTTAGGTGGAAAAGCATCCACATATCCCCTGGCCAGAGCCCCATTTTCTCCCATCTCAGGTCATCCACCATGCCTCTTCCTCCTCCAGTGGTGTGACAGGCAAAATAAGAGCCACAAAAAGCCCACAATTTAAGAAAGGTGTTCAGCTCCTTGAATGCTTCCAGAGGAGGGCAACAAGGCTGGTGAAAGGGCTGGAAGGAATGTCCTGTGAGGAACAGCTAAGGACTTTGGGCTTGTCTAGTTTGGAGAAAAAGAGGTTGAGGGGCAACCTCATTGCTCTCAACAGCTTCCTGAGGAGGGGAAGTGGAGAGGGAAGTGCTGATCTCTTCTCCATGGGATTTAGTGACAGGATGAGTGGGAATGGTTCAAAACTGCCTCAGGGATGGGTTAGACTGGACTTCAGGAAGCATTTCTTTACCGAGAGGATGGTCAAGCACTGGCATAGGCTTCCTAGAGAGGTGGTTGATACCCCAATCCTGTCAGTGTTTAAGAGGCATTGGGAAAATGCCCTTAACAACATGCTTTAGCTTTTGGTCAGCCCTGAATTGGTCGGGCAGTTGGACTAGATGAACATTGTAGGTCCCTTCCAACTGAAATAGTCTATTCTAAAATCTGGAGAACCATGACTGGAGTGCTACTTTTGGCTTATGAGCCACAGTTGGCTACCTTGCTCTAATTAAATGTAACAAAAACACTATTTCATTATATTTATTGTATCTTTTTTCTAGGGGTCTATTTCAGAATACAAATCAGCTTTTATTTCTTTTGACCTTTAAAAATATTAATAGTTACTTGGGGAGGAGTCACAACCTGTATTAGTTTGATAGCAAGTAACAAATATAATCTCTTACCTTGAGAAGTAGCAAGGATGCATTCCATAATGTGAAACATAAGACATTTTAAGAAAAAAAGTGTGGGAAAATGTAGCATGCATTGTAACTGCCCTAGAAATAAGTATAGTGGGCTACTGCTACTAATGTTCTGGGAAAAGGATGTGTGTGTGTTTGAAGAAAAAGCCTGTGTCCGTGTAGGAACTAAAAAAGTTGCAAGCCCTATTTTTACCTGTAGCATTTCACCCAACTAGGTCATCTGGTGGTAGGGAAGTCCAAAAAGGACTAATCTCTGGACAGCTGTGGCTAAGAGATGTAAAGGCTGACGTCTCTGAATGCTTCTGTCTCATTAGACGATGGTGTTTCCCCTTTTAATGAGCCTGACAGAGGACTCTCCAGTTCTTTACAGGTGGAAAGCATGCCAGCATCTGCTGAAAAAATTCCTTTCTTTCCTTCACCTCTGTGCCATCCCCAACGGGAGTAAGATCTTGCCAAAGTTGTAGGGATCTGAGGGATGTCGGACTTCTCTCTGCCCGCAGCAGCCTGACAGCATGGAGCATCAGTCCAGAGTGCAGGCGGTGGTACAACAGGGTGACTAAAAACTTGGAGTGGTGATCAATGATATATTCCCCACATACAAAGGACAGCTAAGTCTGCAGCCAGGCATGGCCCCCGTCACTCCTGTCCTCAGATCTGTCTTAGTTCTAGTCGTTTCATTTTATAAAATTGTAACAAATGTAGAGTCTCATAAGAAAAACATAAAGCTGCATGTTAAAACTGTAGTATGAAGAAAGATTGGCAAGATTATGTCTTTTAGTGTATGAAGTTTAATGAGAGAAGAGAATCTATTAGAGATGTCAAATTATAAGGAAGGCAAGACAGAATATTACCTTTTCCAAGAACATTAGTGAGATGAAGCCAGGCTTTTTAAAGCAGTAATATAAAGCAGAAAATACTATTTTATACAGCACATAATTAGTCTGTGGAATTCACTGCCAGGTGATAGTGCTGAGGCCAGTAAGTTTGATGGATTCAAAAATGGGAGATTTTTTTATCCGGCAGCATGTGCTGAAGTGCTTTGCTGGACTGGCACTTTCAGATACTATCTACATGTAACCATAGGTAGTATTTTTAAAATAGTAGCTCTGTACAATCATGCTTTAGGTTGAGAGCTAACTAACCTTACTGATAACCTTATTGATAAGCTCAACTTTGCCATCAAGAGGGATGCCAGGGCAAAAAAGCAGAGGTATTTCCTAGAAAGACCAACTTTCCCTTTACTTGCAAATGTGAAGAAGGAGCTCTGTCCCTTCTCTTTAGTGCTTACTGAGAAGAAAAGGGGGATTTTTTTGTTTCCTTTTTTTTTTTTTTAAATAAGTAATCTTGCAGTGTATTTGTTCATTCTCCTCACTCACATTCGAGCCTTGAGCTTTGGTCTGTGTTAGATAGGTACCTAGCACAGCTGCTGCCAGAGGTGCAACTTAGAACCCTGGTACTAGGGTCTCCAAGGCCATTCCAACTCTGCTCTGGCAGAAAATGCATGCTGGATAGACTATTTCTGTGCTTCTATCTCACTTTATTGTTACCTTGAAAACCTAGAAGTTTCTCAGACTCTGAGAATGAACTTTTCATCCTAGGAATTCAGACAAATGGAAATTAGCAGCAGGTCACCGTGACCTCAGTTGCTCCATGGAACAAGTTAATGAAAGCTCTACTAAAATATTTTCAGCTAGTAGAATTTGTAAGTTAATTTTGTAGAATTAAATCCAGGATTTTAAGATCTAGTATTTTAAGCTCTACGAAGTGGTTGTACAAATATTTTCAGCACCAGGCGTGATAACAATACTGGCATATTAAGATAGTAAACACTTTTAAAGTTAGTAGGAAAAAAATGTACAATATCCAAGATGTTGAGCTAGTCCATATCACTGGCTAATTCGGTCATTCAGGGTAACAGTAGAGGCTGTCTTTCAAAAGTCTAGCATAGATATGCATGGTACTTCATACAGTACACTCTTAGAAAACGAACAGCAAGCTGGGCTTGCTAGGTAGAGGTGTCCTATATATGTTAAGAGGCAGTACAGCCTTATTTGTACTTGTTGCGGTTCCTGATGATCCATAGTTAGTGTTCATCCCCAAACAGCTGGTAGCGGTCAGTGAAAATATTTTTTTTTTAAAAAGGGGACTATTCTATGCTCACTGTCTGTCCTTATGTGAATGTTTGTACTTGAATGCTTCAGATACAGTAGATGGAAAAGAAGCCAGAGTGGGCACTGAGGATTGTCTGATTGGTATGTGCCATGTCATTCTGATCTGAGATAGCACATCTGGCCATTCTGTATTATCCCAATGGACAAAAAAATCCAGCTTTGCAATGATACATTGATTTACACATTTCTAAATATCATAAAATTTTATATTTTAAAATCATATGACTGTAATAATTTATTTATACTTTCTCTTCAGTGTTTTAGCAGCTAGTACATTGCCCATTTGAGATTAATACCAAATAAAGTATCATATCAATCTTATTGAAATCTAGGTGGGAACAGTAACAAAAGAATGATGCGTTACTTATGGTCAACTAGAATTGAATACTTTCATAAGCCAATACAGATACTTTCAGTTTTATTAACATTTCACATCCTCAGTTACTTAAAATGAACCTGAAGAAAATGATCTCTCTATGAATTACAAAATTTTTCATGCTTTGGGTAGCACATGTGACCAGTATAAGAAATGAAGTTGTGACTAACTGAGCATCTCCTTTTGGCCAACATTTTCTATAGACATCAATGACATTCTATGAAGCCACCCACTTGTAACTAAATATTTTTATCATTAGTGTTCACGAAACTAAAATGGGACATTCTGAGCTGGGAGGCTGAACTAAGTTTTCCCAAGCTTTTTCCAAATGTAGCTGTTCATGCTACTATTTCTGTTTCACAGGAGCCTGTGGGAAATCTTTCAAGCTTGTATTTTGTCTCTTGTGATGTGAGCCCTGTGTTGATGATGACATTTGGAAGCCGTGTTAGGAGAAATGCTTGTTGAAGCCCAGTTTGATGATGAGTGTAACCTTTCAACGGCCTTTGCAGATGGTGGGGGGGCGGCGGTGTTCATGATAAAGGATTCCTGAAATGCCCTTTATCTAGAAAGCTTCCTCTAGATCCTGGAAGCTCAAATAGGGAATGATTGTAGACCCTCAGTCACCTCAGTGTTTTCATCTTCACAGCAAATCGGGAACACAGACTTTTTAATGTGCCAGTACAGCTTTGCTCTTCAGCAAAAACTTCCCTTTCATGTAAGGTTTGCATGTGACACTTGTGGACAGGTCATTCAGAGAATTGCTTCTGCTGTAGCACAGTTCAGATTTCTGGGACAACAGTAGTCTAATTTAAAGGACTTGGAGTATTTTGGTTTAAGTATCATTTATTTCTCTTCCGTCTTCCCAGACTTAAATGCACATTCTAAGATAAACCTTTGAAAAGCCCATTTCCTAACTGTGTGATGTGTGATGGGGCAGGAAGACCACAGCAAGCAGTTTAGCCTTACTTATTTGTTTCTCTGTTTATAAAATGAAGGTACTCATTATTAATAATTCATCATTAATTGCAATATCCTACCTAAGTATTCAGTTTAACTTGTTCATTAACTGGAGGGATGTGTACTTTGTCTACCTGCTGCACCGACCACATTGTGAAGTCCCAGTCACTGTTACAAAACATCATTCCGTATTGTCTGTTTCAGAGGAAAAGCACAGCCAGTGCCAATAAGGGTAAGTTTTCTTTAATCAGTATATTGTTTTTCTTTTTGTAGGTATTTTCTCAGTGCTCAGCTTGGCATCTGAATGTACCACTCTTGCCGCTGAACTTCCCAAAGTGTCTTACGTGAAGGCCTTAGATGTCTGGCTGATCGTTTGCCTTCTCTTTGGGTTTGCATCCCTGGTGGAGTATGCAGTGGTTCAGGTAATGCTAAACAATCCAAAAAGAATTGAAGCTGAAAAAGCAAAGATTGCCAAGGCAGAGCAAGCAGAGGGGAAGGGTGGAAATGCTGCCAAGAAGAACACTGTGAATGGCACAGGGACTCCTGTCCACATCAGCACTTTACAGGTAGGAGCTGCAAAGTTGTGTATGCAAAATCAGCATTATCCTCTATTAACACAATTCTAGGAATATACTGTCATAATAGTTTTGGATAGTGCTTAATCTTAGAAGTGGTCGAGACATTAAAAACATGCTGGTAATTAATGGCTAGCAATCTGACCAGTTGGTCCCTAGTGATTTGGGGTCAGATGTACTAAGTGAAAAATTTGTCTTTTAATATCCTAGCGCCATGGTTGCTGCTGAGCTTCAGGAAAATAAAGTAGCAAGCAGCTTTATAGTTGCTATTTTTCTCATAATAAATAGCAGCTGTCAAACAGTAACTAATCAGAGGACAGGACTTTCAGTCAGTATTTGCTGAGAGCGTACTCAAATAACACCCGTCTCATTGCTTTCCCGGGGATGGCCACAGCTGCACTGCATTGCATGTCAAGCGTCTCTGGAGCCAGGGATCCAGAAGTCTTGGCATTTGTAAACAAAAGACAGGTCTGTTTGTCTGTCAAACAGTTCCTGCATTTCTTGTGTTGGCAGGTAGAGTTCATGGGTAAATCAGTCCAATCTCATGATACGGATAAAGGCGAGATGTACATCTTCACTCAGGCCAAAGTTTTCCATCATGTTGCTAAATTCCTGGTGTCGTAAAAATCTGTTTGTGCTCCAAGAGTTATCAGACATCTCAGGCCAACTGTCCTCAGTCCGGAGTGGTATTTAGTTGACATTTGTTCTACAGAAGAAATTTTTTTATGCATATGTGGAATATGGATTTGGCTTATAGTTTTAAATGACTCATCAATTTTGATGTACAAAATAAAGCTCTTGGGCCACATCCAAGTGATAATATTGGTAGCATACAATATGACTTTAACATTTCTTTAAGGAGGGAGTAGTTTATGCCAGAATGATGGAAGCCCTGTCCTAGTATGAGGCTGGCATTGCCCCATAATCAGAGGAGCTGCAGATATCGCAGAGCAGTGCACTTAACTACCATAATTCTCATCTGGTAGGAGAGTCTCCTCGGAACTGTTTTGGCAGGTAACTAGGCTCAGCTTAGAGCAACCCCGTGACTGCTTTGACTTGTGTCACAAGGAATTCCCCAAGCCCAGGCAACATGGGAACTGGATAGAAAGAAAGATGGCTCCGCTACAGTTTTGCTTCCTCTGAACTGAATGTGATATTTTTGTGTTTAGCAGCTTGCAGGTCCCAAATTCAGCTGTTTCTTGTGACAAAATAGTTGCAACAGTCCAGCAGAGCAGCATAAATTCTGTTTATTCCTATTTCAAGTACTTAAGTGTAAGTGTTCAGCTTCATCAATGACAAGATTAACAAAAAACCCAAATTGCTAAGTTACTGACTGTCCTCAGTGTGTACACCCTTTAAAGTGCTTGCCATTGTCTTAGCCATGAGGAGAATCAAATGGCACCTTTTATTACCTATGCTATCCTTTCATGTTTTAATAATTTTGCCAAGAAGGTGCGGTTGGATGTACAGTGCATTTTAAGACTTAGAGGAAGGGAGTCATTGTCCACAAAAATTAAGCAACATTCCTCATGAATGGTGTCTAGCAGTAGGCTGAAGGTTTTTAGGATTCAGACCTCAGTGTGCCCTCCAAGATCTTGCAGTGTCTCCCCTCCACAATCTTGCAATGTTGGCTCCAGCATCTCATGTTTGACCTGCACTTTTCAGGGTCTTCCCAATTTGTTATCAGAGACCTTTAACACTCCAATACCTTTAATCTCTGCAACAATAATCTGTGTTGGATTTATATGGAGTCTTGGGCATGCGTAGCTTCTGATGATCTTTATACAGAGAGTTACAGTACATTTGTTTACTGAGACATATTGGAAATACGTATTCACTGCTGTAAAAGCTGGACATACGGCTGAGTGGTCTCCTCCTCTTATGGCTAGTGATCCAGCTTGTGTCCAGCCACCTGCTTTGAAATACAGCCTACCTGAGAAAGGATGTCCTGGGCTGGTAATTTCTGGGAATATCACCAGGCTGAGATAGAAAAAGGTCCCAGACCTATGAAGCATTTGACATCAGCATATGGTAGGACAGTGATGCTAGATATTATATATTTGAATGCTATAAATCTGCCTAGCTGAAAACTCCCTCTCTGAACCAGCTACTGCGTAGGAGTACTTTTAAAGTTCTCAACCTTGGAGAAGCCTGTACTAAACTCCTAAATCAGAACAGGTCTAAATCTGTCGGTAGCTCTGACTCCTAATCCAAAACTAGGCCTGCTCCACAAAACTTGGATTGCTCCCATACAGACCTAGTAATGATCAAGTAGAGAATGCATTTGTCATAGGGCAAATATGCAAGGGAGGGAAACATTAAAGAAACAGTAATGGAAAAAAAATGTATGTTGAAAGGCATAAAGAATATGAAACAAAAAGAGGCCAGAGTGCTGTCCCAGAACTTCAGGAGCTGTTTCTCATCAGGGTTGTGTAGGTTTGTGTGTGAGGAGAGAGCAAATACTGTGCTAAATGTCTGGAAAGACTTAGGCAAACCAAAGGATAGATTTAGGAGAAAAGGACAACTTGGAACTGCATCCCTGAAACGAGTGTGCATCCTGTAGAAATGTTTGAGGATGTTCTCTTTCCACATAGGAGGTGATACTAAGGCAGAAGTGACTGCAGGTGTAGCTGGAAATCTCACCATAGCTAGGCTTGAAACAGCGAATAGACCAGATGGGCCTCGAAGGTAAAGCCAACAGGAAAGACCTAGAAGCAGAAAACTCCAAGCAGGGAAAAATGGAGAGCATGAATAATTGCATTTATAGGTGTTTCTCCAGCTTAAATGAAGTACATATTTATTATGAGACATTAACTGAATGGTGCTGATACATATCTGTAAGTGATTAGAGGGGAATCAAGTTTAAAAAGATAAATTATTTCACTTTAAAATGCCCCTGATCTCGATGCCAGGCCAGTTTGCCAGCATTCCCCAAGCAGCAAGTTGCGCTCTTGCTGCCTCTTGCATCCGTGCAGCATTGCATCAGTGATGTCTCTGCAGGAGAACTGGGGAAGGGACTGGTATGTAAGGTACGGGGAGATTGTTGGAGTGGGAAGGTCCCAGGCGTGGGAAGGATCAGAGGGAGCAGAGGGGAACAAGTGGGGCAGTCAGATGTCCCTGGTTCCAACCCTCATGGAACAACTTGTTTTCATGTGCTTGCTCCATTTGTGAAAGATAAAAACAGTATCTGGTCTGGAGACTTGGCATGTTTGATATTAGTAAAAAACAAGCCATAACAAAAACACATGATCATGCTTAAAAATACAAGCAGCTATTGTTCCTATTTTATGACAAGAAATTGAGTGAAGGCATAAACTTTTCAGCTTATCCTAAACATTAAAAGCTTCATGCCATTCATAATTGAAGGTGAGGAGGAGGGATCTCCTGTAACAGAACCTGTAAGGGTCCACCTGGAAGTCTTCAGCAGAAAGCACTTTTGTCACTGTGTCAGTAGAGTCAGTGATTGTGACCGATGGTCACCAACAGTGACAGTGAAGATGGCAGGATGAAAACAGTGCTCACAATTTGACAATCACCCTAAGATGGAGACAAACTTCCATGGATGCACAGCTGCTTCTCCTCTCCACCAAATCCTGGGTACTGGCTGACGTAAAAGCTGTATGTTGCCAGTGTACGCCAAACCCCTGAGTCCATGCTTTATGACTCATGCCCCCTCCAAGAAAAACCCTTGAAATGTCAAGTGCCATTTTAAGCCCAGAGGTTTATCAGTGTGACTGTCTGAATAAAGTGGGCCATCTGGCAAGATCACCCTGAATCTGTAGAAAAAAAGAGAAAATTCAACATAAGCTCTTCTGATGTGTTTTTCTAGGAGCAGCAATGGCTATGTGTTTACAAGCGAAAAGCCATGAGAAGGTACAGTTTGGCTCCCTTAGCTCATAGTGGCTACAAGTAGATGCTGTTCTAAGCAGAGGAGAAAATTATGCAACCTGGTGGCAACTGCTGGTCCTGGCTTTTTATTGGGAATCCTCAGTAGGAGTCTGTGTGTGTTTCCTAGCAATACAGCATCATACAACGAGATTAACAAGCAAAAAGGGAAATGTTATGAAGATGAATCAGTTTCTTTTTGCTTTCACTGGTGGCGTTATTACAGGGAGAGATTGCACTGTTAACTATAACAACACCCCTCAATTTGAAAAGTCACATTTTCATCAAGCCCATTTATAGAAACTGTCCCCCACAGATAATGTGCTGATGACTGGAGAGAACATTTGCTAAAAGAATGGCTCTGGCAGATGATGAATAGTGCTATGCAAGTGGTGGTAATAGCTGTAAACCCAGTTATTTTTAAAAAGAAGTAGTGCTATAGCTTGCCTTACCTTGTCAGAGACACATCTAGGCTCTGAAACCTGATAAGGGTTATGCTCACCTCTACTGGGTTATAATATACCTGACCACTGGTGGTGACCTGTGGTCACCTGATCTTCCCATATTGTCTTTTCGCCTCGAGTGGCACTTCAGACTCGGATCTTTCTTGTAGAACTACCAGAAACCCAGTTTACATTTTATCTTGTACACAAAACCACAGGCTGCAGTCTATTTTAATAGTTTCTGACAGCATTTCAGGTACAGAGTAGGTACTTTCTGCTCTAGTGACTCACGTGACCATCCTTAGAGATAATTCAGAACATGACTGTAAAAAGGCCCCAAGCAATCTGCTTTGAGCAGGGGTTTGGACTAGATGATCTCCAGAGGTCCCTGCCAACCTCAGTTATGCTGTGATTCTGTGATATTTTATGTAGAAATATTTTTTTGCAAAGAATATTTGGAATGTGATAGCAAGTTCCTGCTGAGCTGCACCAGAAAATATACTCAGTCTGAATGCACACTAATGCTGAACCATCATTACTTTATTAATGATCTACATCCATCATTATAGCAAGAGAAGAGCACAAAACGAGTGCAAGAAAGATTAATGACAGAATTTGTTAGAACACTCCATCTTATATAGAAGGCTCTTACACAACTGGCAGCACTTGTGACAGCTCTGCGTGCCAAAAAGAGGTTGGGTGCAATGGAAGAGATGATTTTATGGCAGAGAAGAGGTGCTGTGTAGGGCAGAGAATGCTGCACTACAGTAGGGAGGCACTTCAGCCTGAGGGACCCGTGCTGAGTTTGAGAGGCTGCCAGTGCTATAGCATGTTTGAAACTTCACTAGAAATTACAGGTAATGCATTTCTGCTCCAAAATGATGACATTTTATATTACACTTCATCCTGATGGATAAAGAGGACTTGATCACAGGATGAACAGTCAATTGAAAAGGATCTTTATTCTATTTGCACAAAACAAATTTAGTCGGGTCCTGGTATTTTTGGTGCTGTGAAAGGACATTTCACAAATGTGAAAACTATTTTTTCTCACCTGGGTGGAAGAAGTTAAATAAAAAAAATGAATGATGCTGGTGAGCTATCTAACAATGTTCAAAACAGCTACAGACCAGAAGGGCAGCTATACTAATTTTAAAAAACCCAACAAACAGCACAATTGAAAACAAACTTCCCAAAGATTGAAAACTAGCTCAGATTTAAGCATTTCTGTTTTCTTCTCACTGGCAAATGGAGGGGTTGATAGCAATTAATATAAGTTGAAATCCAGAAAATAGGTGTAGATAATATGTGTAGGTAACAAAAAGGATATATGGTTAGTGTAATTGAGGGCAATAGGAAGTTACTTTGCACGTACAGCAAGAATACAAAACCCAGTAATGAGACTATTTGTTCAATACTAGATAGAGATGCTGTAAGTATCAAGAATTGGCAAGTTGAACAAATAGTCTGCTCTGTGTTTGGGGAAAAGCCAGATACATTCAATCAGATGAAGAAATAGCTTTCATTGTCAGTAGCTAACAAGGATGTTAAACAGTAGCTATTAAAGTTAGACATTTTGCAATTGAGATTTCAGCTTAAGTTGCATCTAGGATTTTTTAAAGAGCTGGTCCATGAGTGCTGTGGAACATTAATGTTGATTTGTTAATAAATCCGTTAAAACTGGGAGGGTTCCAAAAGACAGCAAGAAGCTAACTTTGTGCCAATACTTTTAAAGGCTTTTAAGTGGCATAACATGAATAATGATAAGCCTGACATCAGTTGGTGGAAAATACTGCATAGCTAGCAGGGGGCTGACTAGTAATTATTATTCATAAGTATTAATTATCATTATCATTATTCATAATTCAGCCCCATATTAGCTAATAAATTTAAATGGGTCAGTGAAATCAAAGCTGATCTGTGTGGTTATTGATTTAGTCAAACTATATATAATTTTTTAAAAGATTATCAATTAAGTTGACAGAGGTAATGATGTGGAGGTAAGAAACTCTTAAGAACATTTGACTTGGCTTTATATGTCAGTCTGGTTACGTCATCTGAATTATGCAAAATGAAGGTTAGATTCGTTACCGTCTGTAAGTACCAGCAGTTAGTTAGACTAACTGTAGTCATGCCTCATGACTGAAGATTGAAGCCAAATAAACTCAGGTTAGAAATAAGGTACGTGTGTTTGTGGGGAACAAGGTCATGGAAGAAAATTCTGCATCCTGGATGTTTTTAAAGTTAAATCTAGTGTAACTCGTTGGGGTAGTGAATGTGGAGAGTTGATGAGGAGCACCAGAAGCGGCAGCGGCAGTGATGGGGAGTTATTTCCCCCGCTCTGCCAGTCTGCATGCTCAGGCAGCGCGTCTTTCTTCTTCCCTTTCCCCATTTTCTCATCACGTTATTCCCCTAACGCTGCAAACAAAGGCTTTCTGAGCCGGGTCGGGCCCCGCTGCAGCGGCGGCAGCAGCAGGTGCTGAGCTTGGCAGCAAGCACCACTCCGCCTGAATTTTGTAAAAGGTGAGAAAGGATCATCGCAAGGGGCCGTCTGCCTTCTGGGAGTCATTTTTAGGTATTTCTGAGCTGTTCATCAGAAGGCAGGTGTCCTGCCCAACACGCCAAAGCTAGACAAGCTGGCCCAGTCCTGGAGAAGCAGGAACTAGGTCTGTGTTGTGGGCCAAGCCCTCAGAGCCACGTCGCCGTCCTGTGCTCTCCTCAGCCCCCCTGCTCCGCGCCAGAGGGACAAGGGGCAGCTGCCCAGTTCCATCGGGGATGTGGGGAGGCCCTGCCCTCTTCCAGCAGCCTTCCCTTCCCAAACAGCTGCTCCCCATCCCCTGCAGGGGAAAAGCCATAGCTCTGGTGGAAGCACCCTGGCGGGCTGGGTCTGGCCCACGGGTCATGATGCTGGGGCAGGACAAGGCAAATGATATAAAATATTTTCCAGGGCCAACCTGTGTGTCAGGATGAAGTCAAAAGGATATGACATTTAAACAATATTTTACTTTCTTTACAAGTCTTCAGTGTAGTGCTCTCAAATCCAGTCCTGCGGTATCCTTTTCCACAGAAATGGTTCCTGTAGCCTTTAGTTAGTGTCAGGAATATCGTTACGCTTCTAGCACAAACCAAGACAGGGTGGATAAAAAGCAGATAAACTACTTTTGATATATATTATCTCACTTTGTTTCAGGAAAGCTGTAGCTCAACTGAAGCTAATTTAGATTAAAACCACAGAAATACTGGAGAAATAGAGAGACGTATGAGAAGAAATTTAAAAACAGTTCTAGGCAGTGACTGAATATAGAAAATAGAAGCATGTTAGATTTGTAAACCCAGGGAAATGAAGAAACCTATTTTTAAAAGTAACATATACTTACTAAAGAAAAATTTGGGCCAGGTTGCTCTTACAAGGGAAATTGTGTCACCCTGATAAATCAGTACGCCAGCTGACAGTAAACTAGGCAGAGCTCTGTGTGAAGATGCTGCGAACAGTCTTCTGCTTGTAAGGGAGAGGTGACCTAGAGGCCGTTCCCTCAGTTCTCTGTCCCACAAGTGAATGAGAACTGACTTGTAACAGCCTTTAGGGGAGCGCTCTCTAGATACTGCAGTTGGAATATTCTGTACTGTCAATGAGAGCGCTTAGGCTACAACTAGTGTCAATGAGCTTTACAATATATCACTGGTAGTATGAGGAATGGACTACAAGTTTGCAAATCCAAAGGGAGGCTTATAATTTCATACATGCTTCTATTTCTTGTAATAGCCTTACTAAATCTTACTAGTTTGGACCATGGAAAAAGATTAATATTCCTGATATTTAATATTCCTAACTCTTCAGTTAACATGCACCCCAGTCCTGCAAGTTACTCATTCATTGCACAAGGGTCTGCTTTACATTTTTACTACCCGTGTCATTGGGTCTGATCCGAGCCATGATACCCTCTACAGAAATATTCTTTCCCCTTCTATCATCTCAAAATGAAGGAGTCTAACTATAGCAGGTTGCACAGCGTGAGGCACCTTGTGCATGAAAAATTACACAATTACGAATGTTTGGATTAGTTTATATGATTGACTGATCATCCTTAAGTACTTTATAATGCAACCATTCAGCAAATTAGGCTAATGTAATGTATCCCTATCAACAAGTAATTTCCTATATGTTTGTTTGCGGTGTTCTCTAGCAGCTGCATTAAGTTTGTTAATGAAATACGGTGAGTAGATCATGATTCCCCTCACTCTTTATTTCATAGGTTGGTGAGACCAGATGCAAAAAAGTTTGCACTTCGAAATCTGATCTGAGATCCAACGATTTCAGCATCGTTGGAAGCTTGCCAAGGGATTTTGAATTATCGAATTATGACTGTTATGGGAAGCCCATTGAAGTCAACAATGGGCTCGGGAAATCTCAAGCCAAGAACAACAAGAAGCCTCCTCCTCCCAAGCCTGTCATTCCATCAGCAGCAAAGAGAATCGATCTTTATGCAAGAGCACTGTTCCCTTTTTGCTTCTTGTTCTTCAACGTCATATACTGGTCCATATATTTATGATACATCTTTTATTTATTTTTTTCATATGTGTAAAATATATCCCATTTCATTACCCCTTCCCAGTCATGAAGGCCACTGTGTGAAATTATTTGCATTTGCAAAGCAATATGTTGCATTTTGATGCCATGCGATTGTACTGAACATATGGCATCTGAAATTTGAATGAAAGCATGACACTGCAATGTCTGTGCTCTGACCAACGTTGTATATAAATGTACAGCATACATCCTGCTTCAGGAATATATATGAAGGACAATGCATACTACATTATAAAGCTGAATAACGCTCTTCAGTTAGTAGTAACATACAGAGATTTAAAGTGTTTCTGACAATGAAACTGATGTGCACGTTGAGTATTATTAAAATCAATATTCTAGTATATGTAGTATTTAACAGCTTTTCTGCTGACTTCCAGAGGGGAAAAGAAACCCAAACATCTTGTTCTTGTATCATCTTAGATGGCACTGTCGAAGAAAAACGTAAGATGTAATTCATATTATTTAGACGTTGTAAGTGAAGGCAGCATTGAATAAGCTGATCTTGTCTATGTGGAACAATAAAGATCAGAGAACTACTAATTTTGTAAAATCAGCTCATTTAGAAAAATAACAATTGTATCCATCAAGCAGGCACACTTAAGTGTGTGAGAATATGCTGACAATAAAACATTGGGCCAAATTTTGACTGCTGTTTCCTTAGGCACAATCTAGATACAATATGACAAAAACAAACAGGTCACTTTCTAGATTAAAATTACCAGGGTTTTTGGAGAAACAGCACAAGGTGCAGTTCAGTATCAGGTTGTGTTATACTTTTTTCCATTTCTCTGTCCTCTGGCTCACCTTCTGTAGCGTTTGGCAAGACTGCAGTACATAAGTCACAATTTTTTTGTTTTTGCATCAAATATATCTTACTTGATTTGTTATCCCCTTGAAAGCTTTCAGTTTAAACAAACCAGTTGTTGGCAAGATGAAATCCCATTTTCACCACTAGTTATACTTTTTTTGTTTGCCTGTTGTAGCACAGATGACCAAAGCTAGCACACAGCCACCAGTAGAAGTGTAGACATGTCCAAAGGTCTAAGGGGCTGAGAGTCTTAAATATATCATGAGCCCTTGTTGCCTATGTGTTCATTAATGGCTGCCCTCACCAACTCGTTAATTTGGCTGTCACTTTTTAGAGAGTAAGGTCCTATGCGTGAAACAGTTCTGATAGGAAACTGCTCTCCATTTTCCAGAGGAAACCCTATGACGTGGAGACTACCTAAACATCTCCTCGGGGTGCCCAGGGCAGGACCTGTAGTCTCCTGTGGGTGCCAGGGTACGTCCCTTCGTAAGGGCAAGTCATGAGGTGAAACGCAGCCAAAAGAAAGCTGCCCGTACGTAGGCATCCGAGTAGTGTGTTCCCTGGGAACGCATAGGGACTGGGCCTCGGCCCTTGAGAGCGTGCCGTGGAGAAACATGTCTCCGCTTGTAAAGCTGGGGCACCACAGTTAGTTAAAATAGGAAAACAAGACAGTTCTCGCTAACGTGGCAATTCATAAAATTCATAAAAATATGAATTATTGGCTCCTCATAGGCTAGGTAGGGACTGAATTAAATATGTGAAAATTCTGTAGCGTGGACACAGACACAATCCCGCTTGTGCTACATGTCTAGCTCATCCAGAATACGTTGGGCCAATGCAGGCCACAAGTGGACTGTCAGATCACTTGGGTATTGCCCACCACATGAATGTTGTCCACGTACGTCCAGCCTGAACAACCAGAAGGTGAAAAATGGGAATATAAAAAAAACCAAACCCCCGAAGCCTGCCACGCTGGCTTCGCTGGGCATCTCGCCAATCTGCAGTACGCCCAGGGCTTGCTTTCTGACCCCTGCCACTTTGCGATCGACAGCCTGGTTGCTACAATACCCGTTGGGGTTGGAGAGCACCATATTCTGACCATATTCGGAGCCATATTCATGACCATGTTCTTCAGAATACGGTCACGCGCTTTCCGCCGGCTTCCTGGCCTCTTTCTTGCGGGGATTTCAAGGACCCACTTTACCAGGTGGCCGCAGCTTGTCCGTTGGATTCCTTTCTGATCCGAGGAAATGGAAGGGAAATCCCGGATGTTACTGAACCGTGTTGAACCGAGGGGGCGGAAAATGATACCTTTAAGGTCGAGTTCAAAGTTTTGGTATTTCTGTCTGTTGAAGTTATTTACAGTATTGTCAGAGACGCCAAGAAGCAATACGGATAAGTCAAAGAGAGGAAGGAAGGAAGGGAGGGGTGATTTTTCTACATACAATCAGAGTGCTGTATTTATAGACATTATTTATTCTCATACTTGTATTTTTTCTTATGGTACTGGAAGGCAAGAAAATAATTACCATGTTGGAATTTATATGAATTTTGGAAGATAATTTTCTTGTTAGAACTCTTATTAAATGATTTATCTGTAATTAATGTCCACATTCTATCTGTATAATCTCAATTATAGATTTTATTGTTAAATTAATCTTTGTTCCTTCTTGCTTTGCTGCTTACTTGATGGCTTTTGTGCTTTATCATAAAACATGTAATCAATAATACACTGTAATTGCTTTCCAACTCACACAGAAGGAAGCAAAAAGAATGTGTATTGTTAAGATAAAGGCTTTTCATTCATTACAGCACAAAAACTAAGGACAGAAGCAAAGTTTAACAGCAAATTGGAAACAATTTTAAAATGAAACGGTATCAGCTATAAAGTATTAATTTTCTTTTTATTTACACTAGATAATATTGCAATATTTGTATTACCTCGGAATATATTAACTTGTCCTACAGAGCAGTAATAATTGATTTATTTTATTTTTCTTCTTTCCACTAAAGGTCATTGAGAGTTTTGCATACCGTATCACATTATGGTCCTCCAGCACCCTCTAGTTGTAAAATTCTGCCTGTTGACTTATTTCCCGAACAAGGTGCAAATATAAAGCTGTATAGGCAGTATATGATGTTACTTGATAGTGATAACATGAAGGGGAAAAAATATTAATAAATTAAAAATAAATGGACATAAAAATTAATGGACAGCTATCAAAGCCTGTCATGCAGTATGAATTTAAAACTGTAGAAATTAAGACATTCAAGTAGTAGCAAAGGTGAGGCTCATGAAGTCCACATTAGTAACTAGATTAACTAGTCATGATGTCTGAACAAACTGCATGACAGCAAAATCTGTTTTTGAGGGGGAGACCATCAGTGTTTTAGCTGGCATTAAGTCCTCCTGTTTACTGGTAGGAGGGTTACAAATTTTTATTCTACCCTCAAAAAACCCTCAGCATTTTCTTGGCCCTTGAGCATCGAGGGGTAGCATCCAAGTAGTTCATTCCTTTCTTTCAAAGTGTTACGGCCCCTTAGATATCTTTCTATTTCAGGGTTTTAGAACACATTCAGACACTGCATCAGGAATTTCCATAGAGATGAATTAATTCATTGCTTAACTGCACCCACAAATTTAAGCTACACAATAAGAAAGGATGTGACTCGAAATGTGTAACAGCTGCTATGCGCTAATTCCCTCTTCGGGTGTGCGAAATGGACCCTGTGGAGGAATCCACGCCTTACTTTCTGGTGCGGGTCCGACTCATATTTGACACTCGGTTTTTAGGAGCAGCTCTGTAGTGTTTCTTGGCACCTTTTTTCAGTCTCACGCTAATTCTAGCTGAGATGGCGCACGTGAGCAGTCTGGCTTTTGCACGAGGAAGGGAGTTTATTTCTGTGCAAGCGCAATGTGCAGAAGATTGGCCCCTTGGAAACATTGCCAAGCAGCTTTCATTCTTCAAAGTCTTCAACTTAATTTGGACTTGGTAACAGGAAATGTGTGGGCAAAAGGAGAGCATCTTCAGTGCCTTATTACCTATTAAAGAGAAAGTAGTAACGCTGCCTTTTGGGGTGGTTTCAGTGAGCATGACCCACAGAGACTGATCTGGCTGTATAATCATTTTGAAGGAAATGCACTTGCAAGTAATTTTTATTTCAAAATATTTCACTCTGAAGAGAGACAGTAATTTACTTAAGCAGCCTGTCATAGCTGTTAAGGTAACCTATTAAGAGAGAATACAGCTGAGACCATTGGTCTCTTCTTCAATTAAAGCAGCTTACCATGATGGTTATGGTATGACTTGTGCTGATATCCGTAGGATAGATAACAATAAATTATTTATTTCCAAGGGAGTGCAGCCTGAATATATGCAACGTCGAGTGATTTTACAGGTTATAGAGGTAGCTTAGCGCTGAAGTGAGTATAAACGTGGTGTGTAGCAGATAAGGGAATGATAGGACACGATTACTTGATGCTTTGGTGTACTAATTCTGGGATTAGGGAAGATAATGTGAAAAGAAAAAGAAATTCAGCTACAGAGGGATTGAATAATAGTTTTGTTTGTGTCTATTCAATGTAATTGTGTCTAACAGTTTAATTGCTCTGTATGGTAATAATATGCTATCGCAGTTACCTTCTTTTTATATAGATGTAAAGAATTACTAAAGAAAAGAAAAATTAAGCTCATATGTGTTGCCGGAAAGATACAGAAACTAGTTCTTTTCACAGGAAGCTCTAGACTCGAATAAACAATGGAACATACAGAAAACAAAATGCAGTTTTAAAGACACAAAATTCTCGTTGTCGTGGTTTTGTCTATACCATTGTATCAAATGAACCACAATCAGTCTGGGCGGCTTGCAGCACTCCCTTGCATTTTGACTTACCGAGGAAAGTTGCCCACCCCGCCAGCTCCCAGCACCCGTCCTCATTCCATCGGTGGTGACAGTGCCCGCAGACATTTTAAAAAAGAATTACATGGCTGTTTTGAAATCTGACTGCAAACCCTCCACTGCTGTGAATATGTCAACACCGCAGTCACTGAAATGTCTGCAGCTAATGCAGGATCATCCAAATTAGCTTTAAACTAGCTGGCTTGGGGACGGCTGGCAACGTAGCCATGGTAACGGTGAGCTCCGGCTGGGAAGTCTACCTGCTGGGGTAGGGGATGAAAAAATAACGCTTTGGTGTTAACCCCCACCAAGCTTTGTGCTGCCGTGGCTATTACGCTCGAACGGTTGGTTTAAAGTTAGCTCGCGTGGGTGTTTCTCAGCCCGCGTCTGCGAGATGTAGATGTACGCTGTATGACGCACTGTGTGCTAGAACGGGATTCTTTTTCCCCACTGGTGATGTGAAAGGGGCCACTGTAAAATATTCTTTCCATGGGTCTTGATGACATACAGGATTTATGCCTTGTTTAGTTTTGTGTACTGACAAGAGCGTTCATCGGTAGTGACAAAAATGAAACTAATTTTCGCAAACTGATGCACGTGTAAAAGAATGAGCTGGGTTCGCCCACCTGAGCATGAATGAGGTTGCCTACTGAGTCTAGGTCATAAGACTATCCCTTGTACACGTTAAAGAGCCCATTCTGTTCAGAGTCCCTAGCTCTAACAGCGGATACTGGGTCGTAACCTTTTAAATGAATAAGGAGGCTAAACATGCTAGTGAGACTAATGAGACTAAGTCTATAGAAGTATTCTTTTGTTTCTAGGTTGGCT